ATAAGTCATGCCAAGCTCTCTCTGCTATATCCCAAAGTCCAGCACCCCACGGGTCAGCCCCCGAAAGCCATCCAGCCTCCATCTCCCAAGTTCATTTTGTGTCTCTCACGATAGGGAGGAAACTTAGCGTTCCTTGGAGACCTGAAAGGATGCAGTGAGCTTAAGAATTTTCAAGAGCTTATCAATCAGTCAGCCCTTGTTCATCCCTGAGTGGATGTGTGGTAGTATCATGGTGGACCTTTACTGGGCACTCTGCCGAGTAACTGGAGTGGCACTTGTACTTTAGTCCAATTGGCTCTCCCTTTCACCCTAGCATTTCATCAACCAGAAGGAAAAATAATAATAAGACATCAAAAATCGAGAGAAGCTCCTTATGGGTCTTTGAACTCTCATGTCTATTTAGACACAATTGGAGTCCCACGAGGAATACCAGACCAATTTAAAGCTTGAAATCAAATAGCTGTAGGATTTAAGTCAATATTTTGGTAGGTGACAGTTAATAAAAATGTAGATTAGATAAACTACATCTATTACAACCAACAGCAATGAGGTTTTCATGAGTTAAAAGAAAAACTCATGTCGGCCCCGGTCCTGAGGCTACCTGACCTGACAAAACTCTTTACACTCTATGTGTCAGAAAGAGAAAAAATGGCAGTTGGAGTTTTAACTCAGACTGTGGGGCCCTGGCCAAGGCCAGTGGCCTATCACTCAAAACAACTAGACAGGGTTTCCAAAGTCTGGCCCCCAGGTCTAAGGACCCTAGCAGCAATGGCCCTTTTAGCACAAGAAGCAGATAAACTAACTCTTACACAAAACCTGAATATAAAGGTCCCCTCTGCTGTGGTAACTTTAATAAATACCAAAGGACATCACTGGTTAACAAATGCTAGATTAACCAAGTACCAAATCTTGCTATGTGAAAATCCCCAAATAACCACTGAAGTTTGCAACACCCTAAACCCCACCACTTTGCTCCCCGTATCAGAGAGCCCAGTTGAACACAACTGTGTAGAGGTGTTGGACTCAGTTTATTCTAGCAGGACTAACCTTCGAGACCATCCTTAAACATTAGTAGACTGTAAGCAGTATATGGATGGGAGCAGCTTCACCAACCCCCTGCAAAGTGATTCCGAAAAAGACGACAAGCCCTGCTCCAGTCACACCCGGAAGCTGACTGGTCCACGCACAGCCAAAGCATGAGGAAACTCATCGCGGGACTCATTTTCCTTAAAATTTGGACTTGTACAGTAAGGACTTCAACTGACCTTCCTCAGACTGAGGGCTGTTCCCAGTGTATACATCAAGTCACTGAGATAGTATAAAAGGTTGCTACGGTCCTGTAATTTTACGGTTATTATAAGTCTCCTGGAACTCTAAAAAGAACTTGTTTGTATAATGTTATTCTATACAAGGTATGTAGCCCAGGAAATGACCAACCTGATGTGTGTTATTACTCATCTGAGCCTCCCATAACCACAGTTGTTAAAATAAAATTAAGAACTGAAGACTGGTAGGAGCTCATAAATGATACGACTAAAGTGTTAGCCAAAACAGAAGAAAAAGTGGTGCCCAAACAAGTCACCTTAAAATTTGATGCCTGTGCTGTCATTAACAGTAAGTTAGGAAGGGGATGTGGCTCTTTTAGTTGGGAAAAAGGCTATATGACTGAAAATAAGTATATTTCACATGAATTAGGACTGTGTGGAAATGAATGTGGATCCTGGTCTTCTGTCATTTGGGCCACTTGGATAAAAAATAAAAAGGATCCAGTCCACCTTCAGAAAGAAAAAAATGGCCCTTCCTGTACTAAGGGACAACGTAACCCCTTAGAGCTAGCAATAATGAATCCCCTTGATCCTCATTGGAAAAAAGGGGAGTGTGTGACCTTAGGAATCCATGGGGTCAGACTGGATCCTCGAGTAAATATCTTGGTTTGAGGAGAAGTTTACAAATGCTCTCCTGAACCAGTGTTTCAAACTTTCTATGATGAACTAAATGTACCAGTACCAGAAATTCCAGGAAAAACAAGAAATTTGTTTTTGCAATTAGCCAAGCATGTAGCCCAGTCTCTCAATGTCACCTCATGTTATGTATGTGGAGGAACTGAATGGGAGATCAATGGCCATGGGAAGCCCGAGAATTACTACCTACAGACCCAGTTCCTGATGAATTCCCGGCTCAAAAGAATCACCCTGATAATTTCTGGGTCCTAAAAGCCTCAATTATTGGACAATACTGCATAGCTAGAGAAGGAAAAGAATTCACTCACCTCGTAGGACAACTTAGTTGTCTGGGACAGAAACTGTATAATGGTACCACAAAAACAGTCACTTGGTGGAGTTCAAATCAAACAGAGAAGAATCCATTTAGCAAATTCCCAAAGTTGCAAACCATGTGGCCCCACCCGGAGTCCCACCAGGACTGGACAGCCCCCACTGGATTATACTGGATATGTGGGCATAGAGCTTATACGAAATTACGTGACCACTGGGCAGATAGTTGTGTTATTTGCACTATTAAACCATCTTTCTTCCTACTGCCCATAAAAATAGGCCAACTCCTGGGTTTCCCTGTCTATGCTTCCCACGAAAAGAGAAGCATAGCTATAGGAAATTGGAAAGATGATGAATGGCCCCCTGAGAGAATTATACAATATTATGGGCCTGCTACTTGGGCACTAGACGGCTCATGGGGATACCAGACTTCCATTTACATGATCAACCGAATAAGGTTACAAGCTGTCTTAGAAATAATCACTAATAAAACTGGCAGAGCCTTGACTATTCTGGCCTGGCAAGAAACTCAGATGAGAAATGCTATCTATCAAAATAGATTGGCTCTCAACTATTTGCTAGCAGCTGAAGGAGGGGTGTGTGGAAAATTTAACCTTACTAATTGCTGTCTACACATAGATGATCAAGGGCAAGTAGTTGAAGACATAGAGATATGACAAAACTGGCACATGTGCCCGTGGAAGTGTAGCATGGATTTGATCCTGGGGCCATGTTTGAAAAATGGTTCCCAGCGCTAGGAGGATTTAAAACTCTTATAATAGGAGTTATAATAATAATAGGAACCTGCCTACTGCCCCCTTGTTTGCTACCTGTACTTCCTCAAATGATAAAAAGCTTCATCGCTACCTTAGTTCACCAAAATACTTAAGCACAAGTGTACTATATGAATCACTATCAATCTGTCTTGCAAGAAGACATGGGTAGTGAAAATTAAAGTGAGAACTCCCACTAATAAAATGAGTGAGAGTCTCAAAATAGGGGAATAATGGAGGAGACCACCCCTCATATTGTCTTATGCCCGATTTCTGCCTCCAAAAAAAGAAGTAAAAATTAAAAGACAGAAATGAAATCCACAGGCAGACAGACTGGCACCACACCCTGGGCCTGGCGGTTAAAGATCGACCCCTGATCTAATCGGTTATGTTATCTATAGATTACAGACATTGTATAGAAATGTACTATGAAAATCCCTACCTTGTTTTGTTCCAATCTAATCACCAGTGTATGCAGCCCCCAGTCATGTACCCCCTGCTTGCTCAATCAATCATGACCCTCTCACATGCACCCCCTTAGAGTTGTGAGCCCTTAAAAGGGACAGGAATTGCTCACTTGGGGAGCTTCGTTCTTGAGACAGGAGTCTTGCCGATGCCCCTGGTCGAATAAACCCCTTCCTTCTTTAACTCAGTGTCTGAGGAGTTTTGTCTGTGCCTTGTCCTGCTACAACACAGCCAGTGGTTTTTACTCTAAGCAATATCACTCCCAAGCAGCTTTATCCTCAGGGGATATGTCCCCAGACCCCCTAATGGATGCCTGAAATCTCAGAAGAATGAATTTCTTTTTCCTTCTTCACAATTTCACTGACACACTCATTCTTTCCATAGATCTTAGCAACCTCAGCATATGTTGTTTTTTCTTTCCTTAAGAACTTTCACCTTTTCACTTCAAAGAAGCACTTTATGACTTACTGTTGTCAGATCCAAATAGCCAGCATCATTACTCTCATACTTTGGGGTCATTATTAAGTAAAATAAGAGTTACTTGAACACAAGCACTGTGATACCACCACAGTGGATCTGATAACCCAGAAGGCTATCAAGTAGCTAAAGGGCAGCAAGAGTATATAGTGGAATATTCCGGACAAAGGGATGATTCACCTCCCATTCCGGAAGGAGCTGGTTGGCTCAACATTTTATCACACTACTCAGAACAGCATGCAATTTAAAACTTACTAATTGTTTATTTCTGGAATTTTCATTTAATATTTTCAGACTGCTGTTGACTGGGGTAACGAACCTGCAAATAAGGAGGTATGGCTTGTACAGCTGCTTCTTGATTTACGATGGGGTTACACCCCAATAAATGCGTCATGATAAGTCAAAATGCATTTACTACCTCTGTAAGCCCATCACAAAGTTAAAAATCATAAGTCTAACCATCCTAAATTATATACAATCTTACTTATCTGCCTAAAACTACCAGAAGGGTAATAAGAGTTGTAATAATGGAGGGGCTCACTAGGAGCCAGTGAACTCCTTAACCCTGGTGATGTTCAAGCATGTAGTAACAATGTCAGAGCTGTTGATGAGCAGATTCCAGCATTCAATACCTTGGCAGGCTACAAAGTCTTTAAATTCCCTTAGTATTCATAAAATAAAATCAATTTTCTAACCTTTGCCACACAAGATAGTTCCCAGGTCAGCAGTTTCAACATCATTTGGGCACTTGTTAGAAACGCACAGGATCAGGCCCTACCCTACACCTGAAGAATCATAATCTGTATTTTAAAAGATCCTCAGCTGATTAATTGCCACATTAAACTTTTAGAAGCACTAATCTAATCCCCTAAATTACACATATAAAGAAACAGACCACCCTGCGGAGGAACAAACACAGACATGCTGGATCCGGTCGTCACTGGGTGGGCACAGGGCTCCTAAAGTTTCGCACTAGAAGGCAGGCGATGGACGGGAGCAAAAGGGCCCTCACCCCGTCAAGGAGTAGGATGCGGCCAGCGCAGGAGCTAGTGGTGAAAAACTGATCTCGCGTGTTCAGAAACTGCACAAGCTCTACCACATCCTTGTCCACACTGCCCTTCCGGCTGAGGTCCGCTTTGCTCAAACACTGCGCCTTCCATTTCCTGAACTCCGCGCTGCGATCCATGTGTGAGGGACTCGGGGTCCGCGCTCTGCTCCTTCACGGTTGCCTAGTCGCTCCCCGGGGGCGGCCATATTGAAGCGAGCGGTGGCCGAAAAGGTCCAAACTTCCTCTGCGTTCTTAATTTGGGAAATTCTAGTGCCTTCGCCTGGGGTTGGGGAGAGGCGCACAGCGTGGGCGGAGCCTGCAAAAGTTGGAGAACGTGTAGCAGACCTCATCCTGTGGAATCTGAAGAGGCCCACGCAGATTTTAATTCCCACTCTAGATTCTGGTAAGTGGTTTTAAAAACTCTCCTTAGTTGTTCAGACAGCGAATCTCCCTACTGCTCGTCCAAGTGCAACAGAGGTTGATTTTGGCTGCACTCCTTTCCTGCCCTCTGTCCTCTCAGAGAATTAGTGCGTAAAGACCTCCAGACCAAAGCCATTCCCCTCCAGGGGCTGCAAGTTCCCATCCATAAATCACGTAGGGAGTTTTGCGCTCTGGTCCTGCGTTTAGTGTCTGAGTTTAGGCTACCACACCATGAGGCGTTCGTTGGAACTACCCCTGCCCAGCCTCCGCCCCCCGCACTCCCCGACCCCCAGTCCCACGCTGCATCCCCCACGCCAGTCACCCGCTTGATTTTCCTTGCAGCCAGTGCCTGGGTTTGGGGATTCCTGCAGCAACGCGCAGCGGTCTGTCCGGGGCCCCTTCCCACAGCCTAGCTGTAGGGGATTTCTCCTAGGTAGGGCCCCTTCCCACAGCCCAGCTGTAGGGGATTTCTTCTCCTAAGTAGGGCGCCTTCCCACAGCCCAGCTGTAGGGGATTTGATTTCTTCTAGGTAGGACCCCTTCCCACAGCCTAGCTGTGGGAAATTTTTTTCTCCTTGATTCCCACAATTACAGGTTTCCCGGAGCTTGCCGCCTGGTCTTCCTTGAGCTTTGTCATCAGGATTGCAGTCTTACTTTGAGAGAAATGTATGTTTTTATTGACCCTGTGACGCCCCCCACTTAGAATAATCTTCAAAAGAAAATTACGAAACACCCTGTTAACACATCGTTGGATGTTCATACTGAGTTTCTAGAGGAGACTCAGTGACCAGGGAAGAAGGTGTGTCAATGATTAAACCTAAAGGCTAAAGTTTGGAATGCTTGTCCCTAGCTAATGGAAATTGCTGTGTGAGTCCCACTGAAGCCACTGTGATTACGTGTCTGGTTAGCGCAGCGAGTTCAGCAGCAAATCTCTCCGAGCTCTACTCCCCCAACATTAGGAAACAGACTGCCCCGTTCCATACCATCAGGGAACCTGGAGGAGTCCGGAATTATCTATTAAACTCCTCCCTTCTTCATACCCCGTCCTGTCACAAGTGAACAGAAGTGGCCTGATAAGATCACACAGCCAGGAAGAGACTTTCTCTGACCACTTGTAATTCTTGACTTTTTTACCTTCTGGATTAATAATAAACCATATGCTTACATGAGTCATTTTTTATTAGCAACAGAACATTTTGTAATGATTGATTTTTTTTCTAAGTTTTCAGTTTTTTAAATTCTTGCCAGAATTCTTATTTAATTTTACTTTTGCTCTTGTCTCATCATGTTCCTTTGTCCTGGCTTTGTGAATTGATCTGTTCTTCCTATGTTAAAATATAATCCTAATATTTTCCCAATTCCTTTAATTTTCATTTAAATCAAATGGATACAAGCATGGCCAGGAAAAAGATCACTGTTGGAGGAGGGATTTTAGATTTCCTATTTCCTAGATTTGTAAGGCATATTGGCAACCTTTCAGAGGTAAAATAAAACCAAAAATTAAACCAAGGGACTCCAATTTTTAAAAGTTTACATTTGATAAACAGGAAGGCCTGTTTGAAGTATAGTTCAATTAAAAACCACAAGCAATGGAAAGGTCTGTCCTGTCCACAAGGATCCGATGCTAGGGAGTAATTTTTTTTACACATTTTAAAAAATAGAATCATGTCCTTTGTATTTCTGCTGCATTCCCTGACTTAGTGGGTATTTGAGAAATTTCAAACTCTAAGCAGATGCCTTAGTCATAAAATATGTGATTCTCCCCGCAGGTTAGTTTGATTTCACATTTTCTAGCTCAATCTTCCTCACTATCACTATTGTAAAGTTTCTTTTTCTTTCTTTCTTTCTTTCTTTCTTTCTTTTTTTTTTTTTTTTGAGGCGGAGTCTTGCTCAGTCGCCCAGGCTGGAGTGCAGTGGCGCGATCTCGGCTCACTGCAAGCTCCGCCTCCCGGGTTCACGCCGTTGTCCTGCCTCAGCCTCCCAAGTAGCTGGGATTACCGGCCCCCGCCGCCTAGCCCGGCTAATTTTTTGCGTTTTTAGTAGAGACGGGGTTTCACTGTGTTAGCCAGGATGGTCTCGATCTCCTGACCTCGTGATCCGCCCGCCTCGGCCTCCCAAAGTGCTGGGATTACAGGCATGAGCCACCGCGCCCGGCTGTAAAGTTTATTTCTATGAAGTAAAGGGTCTTATATGCCAGCATCTCAAAGGGTGAGATGAAAAGGATTGTAAACTTAAAAAAAAAAAAAATCAGCTAACACCATTTAATTATAGGACTTGGGTTCTAGCTTTGCTTCTGTGTGACCCTGGCCAAGTCTCTTAACCTCTTGTGATGTTTTCTCATCCATAAAATGGATGGCGATTTTATTTTTACTTCTGCATAAAATAATAGTTTAAATAACTTCTCTACTTGTTGTGAAAATAGTTATGTCAGTGAAAGTGAGAGACTTATGCTTTTTAGAAGAAATCCAGTATTACAGGAGTTTAAGTATTATCCTATTTGCTATCAGTATGCCACGTTATTTTATTATTTGTATAATCTCTTTTGACAGGCTTCATCATTATGAAGCATATAATGATCCCGTGGATAGGTGAGTTCAAAGGCAATGAGTGCAGGTTGGAGCCTGATCAATCAGAATGCTAAAGGCTCAGTGGGAAATAAGATCAGCTGAAACAAAGTAGGAGATAGTGTGGTCAGGCCATGCCCCATCACTTTCAAGCCCACTAGTGTAATGTGGTAGTTTAGTACTGGGCAAAGCAGATGAGTCCTCTTTCTTTATTCCTTTCTCTCACTTAGCCAATGCCAAAATGTGTGTGTTTGGTGGGGGGGGGGGGGGGGGCGGCGGTGTGGGGTGGGGGAGATACAGCTCCTGTTTCAGAGTAATTTTACTTTTATTATTACAACAGTTTTTTTTTATGGTAATTGTGAGATGTGAGTGAAACACATAGGTAGGAAGTAGGTAGATATGGAAAATGGAAAAAGAGCAAGCATCTCATAGGGTATGTGTGTAGGTGTGTGAGAGAGAGAGAGCACCCAGCTTACAGAAGCTAGGGGCAGGGTGGGGCATATTCTCCTTGCTCTTTGTGTTCTCTGAGTTTAACACACTGCTTCATGCACAGTTAAGGTTCAGAAAAATACACATTGGGTAACAACCAATGTTTGGTATTAATGTTTTGTTTAAGTCATCTTCACCGAATTCTTTGAGAATAAGAGCTTGTTTTGACAACCAGAGTCGTGTAAATATCATTATATTAAATTAAAGATAATTACAGAACTATAGAGTATATTTTTTTCATAACATTTTAGTGACTTCTGTAGTCTGCTTTTTTTTTTTTTTTTTTTTTTTTTTTTGGGACTGGGTCTCAAACTGTCATCCAGGCTGGAATGGTGCAGTGCCACGATCACAGCTCACTGCTTCACTGCAGCCTTGACCTCCTGGGCTCAAGCGATCCTCCCAGCTCAGCCTCCTGAGTAGCTGGGACCACCCGTGCTTGTCACCACATCTAGCTAATTTTTTTTTTTTTTTTTTTGTAGAGATGCCATTTTGCCATGTTGCCCAGGCTGGGCTGGGTCTCCTGGGCTTAGGCAATCCTTATGATTCAGAAACTGAAAAGAATAGAGGGGAAAACAATAATAATGTCTACTATATACAAGAGCATGTGTTTGCTAAGTTCTGTGCTTGGTGCTTGCCATGTCTCTAGCATATAACTCTGAGTGGGAGCCCAGATTTCAGATGAGGAAACAGCATCAAGAGGTTGACTGCCTTGCCCAAGGCCATGTGGCTGCTACATGATAGAGCTGGGACTCACACCTCGAGCTGCGTATTCCAAAACCTGCTCTTCCCATAACACCATGTTGAAAAAACAAAACAAAAACAACCTCTGTGTTCTTATATCCACCATCTCATCTGGGCAACCTGTTTCTTTTTTATTTTCTTGACACTTTCACTTTCTTGTCTAAAGAATTCTCAGCTAGAGTGAAGACCTGAATGGAAGTAGAGTGGTGAGATTGCTGAGTAGGAGTGGGCTGTTTTTCCCAGCCCTGCCCTCTGACAAATCATCTCCCTGTCAGACACTGCCAAGCTGTTTTAAAGTGCAATCTTTATGCCGTCTGCCTGCTTCTGCCTCTTTTTTTCCCCCGAGGACCACCCTTCAGGATATGTCATTGCTAAACAACCTTTGGAAATGTCACTTTCTCCTTTGTGCTAGACACTGTGTTAAATCATTTTAAGGGTTTTAAAGGGACACAAACTTTTGATTAATTATATCAGGAACTTTCCATCAATAACACTACCAAAATACTTCTGATTCCACCCCCTGCCCCAGCCACTGTATGTGGAAATGTGGAATGACATTTTATAGCCAGTATGGGCTCTGTTCTGAGTAGTCCTGTATGGAGTTCTGATACAGTAAAAGTCTGAAGTCTTTCGTATCAGGTCCTGGTTTCTGCAACTCTTCTTAATGTTTAAACTTCTTGTGGTTAAAGCAGATGTTTTAGGTGATGGCAGAATCTAACACTATTTGGTTGATTTCAAGAAATTATGATAACCCACAGATATAATTATGGGGATATAGTCAAAACCTTTCATTACATCTTTACAGGTACAGAAAATTTTCTAAGATTATATAATTTTCTGTACAAATGTTCTTTGTCTTTTTATAGGTTATTTGAACTCTGAGTTTCCATTTAATTTGATATTAACAGTGATATGACAGAAAGGTTAGCTGTGCCCTTGTAATTTATAAAAGATTGCATATGGTGCACTGTTTTTAGTGTTTGACGTTTTTCCCCTTTTGTTAAAATGAATGAACTACAGAAAGCCAAGTGTTTCGACATTGATAAATCTCAAAAACTTAATGCTGAAAGGAGAAAGCAAATTGTAGAATTCTTTTTCAAATCAGAATTTGCTTTTTCCTTTCAGCATTAAGTTTTTGAGATTTTTGTGTTCCCT